CTTAGAAACTAGAACGGCGAGACTTTGTCTTACTTACTTTGGACATGTTATCAGGAGGAACCAGTCCCTAGAGAATGACATCATGCTAGGTAGAGTGTCGGCGAAAAAGAGAAAGACTCTCAACAAGATGGGTTGATGCAGTGGCTGCAACAATGGACTCAAACTTAGCAGTGATTGCAAGGATGGAGCAGGACCAAGCAGTGCTTCTGTTGTACAGAGAGTTGCTATGAGTCAGAACCAACAACAACAGCACCTAACAACAACATAAGCAAAATAGTATTAGACAATATTTACATACAACAATGATTATTAAAAATCAACACCAGCAAAAGTACTAGGTGGTGACATATTGAAACTGTTTCCATTAATCACAGTAATTCGAGGAGGATGCCCATTATTACCATGTTAATCAACTGACTATTTTCAAATTCTTTCAGCTTCCTCTTGGTGACCATGAAGGCAAGAACCTTTCATTGTGGCCATCATTTTGCAACGTTTTCTGAGAAACTATGGTTCGAGTCCACCCGGAGGCACCTTGGAAGAAAGGTCAGGCAGTCTACTTCTGAAAAATTACCATTGAAAACTTTATGGAGCATATTCTACTGTGACACACATGGAGTCACCAAAAGTCAGAACTGACTCCACAACAGCTGGTTTGGTTTCACTCTTACCAGTGGATATAAACCAAAAATCCAAACTCACTGCCATCGAGTTGATTCTGACTGATAGTGACCCCCATTGTGTTTCCAAGGTGATCAATCTTTTTGGAAGTAGATTGTCTCATCTTCCTTCCACAGAGAAGCTGGTGAGTTTGAACCACCAACCTTCTGGTTAGCAGTCAAATACCTTAGGCACTATGCCACCAAAGTGCCTTACCAGTGGATGTAAACACAGCACAATGCAATGCACTGCTGTGGAGTCGAATCCAACTCACAGCAGCCCCTCCTTGGGTTTCTGAGGCAGTATCACTAGGGAGGTAGATTGTGCAACCTTCCTTCCGAGGAGTGGCTGATGGGTTTGAACCACCAGCCTTCTGGTTAACAGTCAAATGCCTTAGGCACTACTCCACTAGAGCTCCCAGAGTTACCCAAATTTGAGCCTCTGTTTGCTTTTTCTAGAAGTTCTCCCCATCTCAAGATGAAAAACCAGTTTCTTATCCTCCATGCCACAGTCCTAGGAGTTTCAAGAATAAGGAGAAATGAGAGAGTTGGGGAATTTAGTCTCCTCACCATTCAGGAATTGGAGAGTAACATTTGTTGGAGGCAGCAGATGCAAGGAGATGGGTTTTGTTAATAAACATCTGAGGAACTCCTAGCAGGGCTGGGTGATGCTAGCCCTGGGACCAGTGGGTGGGAATTAATCACCAGCAGCTGTAGAGGATGCAGGCGGCAGCTCAGTCTGGACCTCAAGGTCTGGTGAACTGGTCCTAGAGAAATGCCTCAGAGCAATCTGGAGCATCCTTGAGTATATTACCTGCTCATCCACTTTGTGAATGAACTGCGGTGACATGGTATTTTCTCCCTCCACTGCTCTGGCTTCTTCCTGAGAGAGAGGAAAGGAAGAGCCACAGCTGACTAAATAAGGGGAAAAGGGAAGAATGCTACTGAAAAAAGCCTGACCCCTAGTTTCCTCTTTACACACATATACCAAATCACTCTGTTGTCCTTAAAATTGTGTTCCATGTCCACGTCACTATCCAACTTTCTGCACCACAGGATGTGTTTGGTCCATTTTGCCAGTTATGATACCTGGAAACACCTGGCTCTGAGTTCTGCCTAAGTCCTTCCCTTGTTCCCATGCCAGATCTGAATGTGCAGAGGTTACTTATGTTATCATGAACTAAAAACCAAACGCATTGCCGTCAAGTCAATTCCAACTCATAGAGTGTGGTGGTTAAGTTTATGTGTCAACTTGGCTAGGCCTGGTTGAGTGGTTGGGCAGCTGGATGTAGTATTCCCCAGGATAAGACTTAATCAACTCCATGGAAGACTCTACTGTGAACAGCTGAGTAACTGCATTAGGGATGTGGTCTGCTTCCTGTATATAAGCAGAAGCCTTGGGAACGGTCTCTAGTTTATGGCACGCTTGAGCCCTGCGTGTAGTCGAGTCATTGTTCAGCAGGCTGCCATATTCTGCCGATCCTGGCACTTTCAATGGACATGAATCAATGGCCTGCTGTGTGGTTTGGTAACATCGGGACTGTGCCATTTTATTTGTCAACCTTGGTCTTGTTAGCCTCAGCAGCCAGTAGCTGCCTGAGTGAAGAGATGCCTCTAGCTCCAGTGGGCCAGTAGCAAGAAGCAGAGCTGAAGCCCAAGGTCAAGAGGCTTTCACAGCCCCTAGAGCCTGGCACTTTGAACTCGGACTTCTAGCCTCCTGAATTGTAAGAGAATAAACTCCTGTTTGTTCAAGCCATCCCATTTGTGGTATATTCCTGTCAGACTAGGTAACCAGAACATGGTTACTCCCACTGGGTTTCCAAGGCAGTAAATCTTTATGGAAGTAGATTGCCCAGTCTTACTTCCATGGAGTAGCTGGTGGGTTTGAACCACCAACCTTCTGGTTTAGCAGTCAGATACCTTAGGCATTATGCTACCAGAGCACCTTTATGTTCTTATACTATATTATATTATATATTATAAAAACAAACTTGTTACCATTGAGTCAATTCCAACTCAAAGTGACCCCATAGGGCATACTGGCTGCACAGAGTTTCCAAGGCTGTAATCTTTACAGAAACAGATTACCACATCTATCACCTATGGAGCAGCTGGTGGATTCAAACTGCCAACCTTTTGGTTAGTGGCCAAGTGCTTAATCACTGTGCAACTGGGGCTCCTTATATAATGTTGTTATTAGGTGCTGCTGAGTCAGCTCCAAGTCATAGCAACCCTATCTATGTACAACAGAACAAAATACTGCCCAGTCCTGTGTCATTGTCACAATATTTGCTATGCTTGAGCCCATCATCACAGCCACTGTGTCAATCCTTGTCATTGAAGGTCTTCCCTTTTTTGCTGACCCTCTACTATACCACACTCGATGGCACATAACAACAACAACTACTATACCACGTATGATATCCTTCTCCAGAGACCAATCCCTCCTGACAACAAGACCAAAGTCTGTGAGATGAAGTCTAGCCATTCTTGCTTCCAAGGAGCATTCTGGCTACATTTCATCCAGGACAGATTTATTCATTCTTTTGGCAGTTCATGATATTTTCAGTATTCTTCACCAATACCACAATTCAAATACCTTAATTCTTCTTCAGTATTCCTTATTCATTATCTAACTTTCACATGCATAAGAGGCTATTGAAAAATACCATGGCTTGGGTCAGGTACACCTTATTCTTAACACTTTAAAGAGGTCTTTTGCAGCAGATTTGCCCAGTGTGATAAGTCATCTGATTTCTTGACTGTTGGTTCCATGTGCGTTGATTGTGGATCCAAGTAAAATGAAATATATATAATATTTTGTATAATTTAAAAATCTTCTATAATAACTTCCATTTATTGAGCACTTACTGTATGCCAAGCTCTAAAGAACGGGAGCCATAATTAATGAGCCACCATTATGTGCCAGACACTGGACAAACTTTGTCTCATTTAATAGACAGTTAGGTGCTTCTCTGGGCACTGCAGCCAACAAAGTCCCTCATAACAATTCTCTTAGGGTTTCTAGCATGCTGCCTGTTTAACAGTGCTAGAGCACTGTATTCTTTAATTCGATTGCATAACTAATACATGAATACATTTGCATTGTTTGAAATTTTTTTACAATACAGATATGTTAGAAGGGAAAAGTTAAAGGCTCCCTACACACACACTCACATGCACACACATGTGCACAAACACAAATGCCATCTCACCCCCAGCCCACCTCCTGCCCCAAGATCTTATTTATATTTTATCATTTAATTCTCAATAACACTATGACATTGGCATTACGATTATTGTGATTTTACAGTTGAATAAACTGAGGTTAGGCAATATTAGGAACCCTGGTGGCCCAATGATTAAGTGTCTGGCTGCTGACTGAAAGGTTGGTGGTTCAAACCCATCCAGTGGCTCCATAGGAGAGAGACCTGGTGATCTGCTTCTGTACAGATTACAGCCTAGAGGACCCTGTGGGACAGTTCTACTGTATCGTACAGGGTTGCTATGAGATGAAAATCAACTCAGTGGCACACAACAAGAAGAAGCAATGTTAAATATCTTGCCTAAAGTCACTTATCTGGTAAATGGTGGTGAGACAACTCAACCACAGGTTTTGGGGTATGTATGTGTGTGTATGTGGTCCCAAGTAGGGTCAGCTGGCCACACTTAAGTCCAGTGATTACACTTTTCTAATCATTTGTGATATTGGGGCTTCTGAATTTGCCTCCAAACCTCCTTTGGATTTGAAAATTAGCACATATTGCCAAAGTGGGAGTAATGTGATATTTATAATGTAATATTTGTGCTTGAGTATTCTTATCTTTAAGATGAGGCTGAGGATAACACTTCATTGTAAGTGTGTTAGGAGAATTAAATGAGATGATATATATAAATCATTCGGGACAGAGGCTAACACATTTTCCCTGGGGAGTTTATGGGAGTCTGTGAATTTTCTGTAGCGAGGGGTGTCATTTTTGTTCCTCATCCTTCCCCACTTCTTGGAGCACTGTTATCCAGACCCAAGATTAGAAATGTCCAGAGATTTAGCATCAGGGACTTTTTCCTGAGGCACCAAGAGAAACATTGCAGTGTCTTTCAAAGTTATAAAGCTCCCAGGCCATCAAGTGGCAACTCCATTTCGTCCTTCATTCTACTCGAGTGTCATCCTGTTTCTCCTTAGCTGGGCTGAATGAGAAAAGGGCAAGGGGAAAATGGCTCCCCCAAAGAACAGCTCCCAAAAGCAAATTCTTAAAAACAAGCCAGGGGAAACCTCTGGAGCCTTGCTTGTGAATTAAAGTTCTTTTGCAGCCGTAATTACCTTCTTTTTGTTTCCCATAGGGGCTGAACTGCAGAGTCAGAAATAGTAAGTCATCCTTTCTTGTTCTTGTCACTGTTGTTTTCTTAATAAAGGGAGCACCTCCTGCTGACATCTGACAGAAGCTCTGCCCTCCTGCTTAGGATGAGGATGTGGGTTATAACCATCAGCAGGAGGAATCCTTGGGGGGTCTGGGTTGCATGCACCTGGCCTTCCTAGCCAGAATATTTGAGATGCAAAAGTCAGGAAATGAAAAACCGAACTGTCATTTGGATTGTGAAAGTATTCTCTGGGGTGCTGCCCTAGTGAATCTAGAATACAATTTGATTTGCCACAGCTTGTCACTGTAAGAGACATCTGTGGTGTTGCTTTTGTTTTGAATTTCAATTCAAGAAGGAGGCAACTACTTCAAATTTGTATCTGTGCTCACCAGTTAATTAAAGACTCCTGAGATACATTGATAAAACAACTCTTATACTACCCCATCCCTCCTGTGCTCCTGTCTCCAACCACTGCTTCATCTCACAACTAAGTTGTATGTTTCATTTTCTTTCCTGAAATGCCATGTAGTCTTCAGAGCTTTGCAGTGACCACCAGGCAGGCATGAGAAAGAGAAGGGGAGAAAAGGGGGGTGGGCAGTGAAGCAGAAGATCTGACTGAGGGTCACAAGAGAGAAGACTGCAAGCTCCTGAACTGTTTAAGACCTTTGTGGGGCATCTCAGGGGCTCAGCTGTAGTCTCTGATTGCAGCTTTTCCCTGATTGCCAGGTACCTGCCTGGATAACAGCTGGGTCTACCCTCAAAACCTGACCCCCTCATCCCCGAAAGATGTCCAAACCCATCTGCGCTTTGTCCACACTGAGGCAGGAGACCTAGTCCCTGTGGTTTACATCGAATGGACATTGCAAACAGACGGTGAGTGAGATGTCAGTGGGGCCTGGGGGCGTCTACCCATCTCCAAGTGAACCCAACCTATACCTACTGTCCAGACTCCACACTCAGGATTGAGCTTTCAGTCCTGGGCCCAGACATGAGGGCCCAAATTTAGTGCTGAAATGATCAATCATTTAATGTAGTTATTGTTGTTGTGTGCTTTTGAGTTGATTTTTACTCATAGAAACCCGTGTGATAGAGCAGAACTGCCCCATAGGGTCTCCTTGGCTGTAATCTTTACTGAAGCAGATCGCCAGGCCTTTCTTCCATGAGCTGCTGAGTGGGTTCAGACCACTAACCTTTTGGTTAACAGCCAAGTACTTAACCATTGTGCTACCAGAACTCCTTTTCTTGATAACTCCCTTTTAATGTAGTTAAAACTTCTTAAATGTTTTAAATATTGACCCACAATAACTTCTCATCCCACCATCCTTAATGAAAGGCCTTCCCTCAGCCCAGAATCTTCATTGGCTGGGAGGGGGGGGGGCATGTGGTAAATTGTAGGACTATTAACAACAACAACAAAAACCAGGTGCCATCGAGTTGATTCCAACTCATAATGATCCCATGTGTGTCAAAGTAGAATAGTTCTCCATAGGGTATCCATGGCTGTGACTTTCAGAAGACTTTCTTCCAAGGTGCCTCTGGGCGCATTCGAACTGCCACCCTTTGGGTTAATGGCCCACTGCTTAACTATTTGTGCCACAATACCAATTATTTACTGGAAAAAGTAGTAATACATTTGCCAGCCTGCTTGTTCTCTTAATTTAGGGACTAGCACTTTTTGAAACAACATCTCTTAAGCCTCTTCCGTGGTAGACAGTTTTATTACAGATTTGGAAAGACATTGAGGTTAATGAGAGCCAGCTCCTGATTTGTGAACAAGGCATGAGGAAGTTCTGTTTGTAAGGCCCCAGCCTGAATGCTCACTATTGACAACTGCAGCTGCCTCTTGGCCAGTGGAGGTGCTGTCTTTGACACCCATGTCATATTGCTGACCCTCTAGTCCTAAAGATGCAAAGCTTGTGCTTCCAGCCTAGTATAAAATATCCCTTGTCCTGGTCCAGCTAGGAAGTTAATGTCTTTGAGGCAGTTGGCTAACTGAGGCCCAAGAGTGAGCCAAAAGGAACAGGAAGTGAAGAATTAGGTAAGACAGGCAAATTTTTTTATAAGTGTGAACAAGCTAACTGCAGGGAAGTGCCACACCCAGCAGTTTGTCTTAGCTGATCTTCATCTGTTTGTCTGTCTCTTCACTTCCCTCTGTCCTTCAGCCAGTATCCTCTATCTGGAGGGCGCAGAGCTATCTATCCTGCAGCAGGACACCAATGAGCGTCTCTGTGTCAAGTTTGAGTTCCTCTCTAGACTGGAGCATCATCACAAGCGGGTAAGAATCCAGTTCCTGGGTAAACCTTGCTCCTCTGGAGACATCAGCATGGCCTTCTTACCCCCAAACTGAGGCCTTAATTTAGAGCAGTGAAGACTGGAGGTGCTGTGAATCTGAGAAATTCAAAATGGCTGCCTCTGAGAGAAAGAGGGGTTGCATGTCTGCTGTGAGCAGTATTGAGGATGTTTCTACAACTTCTTAGGCATTCTCCTACCCCTGCTTATTCTTCCAGTCTTCCCTAACCATTCTTAAAGAAAGTTGAATCAGAGGACTTCCTCAGCCCTACCTCTTACCATCAGACACTCTGGTAGCATAGTACCTAAGGCACTTGACTGCTAACCAGAAGGCTGGTGGTTCAAACCCACCAGCCACTCCTTGGAAGGAAGGTTGGGCAATCTACTTCTGTAGTGATACTGCCTCAGAAACCCAAGGAGGGGTCACTATGAGTCGGGTCCAACTCGATGGTACATAACAACAACCTCTTACCATCTGTTTGTAACCTGGATTCATCTGGGGCTTGCCTCCAGGAAGGAAAACTTTTGCCCAAACCAAAGAACTGCTGTGGGTGGGGCACAAGCAAAGATTAATCTCACGTTGCTGCTCATGTCAGATGGTAAAACATCAATAATCTTTCAGTTTGTTTAAAGCAGTGGTTCTCAAAGTATGGTCCTAGGACAAGCAGCATTAGTGTCCACCACCACCACCAACAACAACAACGTGCTAGAAATGCAGATTCTTGGGCCCCATCCAGACCTACTAAATCAGATACTCTGGGGGTGGGGCCCAGCAACTGACATTTCCCTGGCCCTCCAGGAGATTTTGAGAGCCATTGGTTCTCAAACAGAACCAAATAGAACAAGTGGCCCTTTGCTGATCTTCCAGAAACACAAGCAGCAGAGACAGTTCCAGTTCCTTTTCCAGGCTTAAGTAGTACCCCCAAAACTTGATTACACTGTTGATGGTAAGGAACAGGTGCCTAGATCTACTTAGAAGCAAAGCAACCTGCCCCCTATGCGAAAATAATAATAATAATAACCTCTTTGCCTTTGAGTCAATTCCGGCTCATAGCGACTCCCATTGGATTTCCAAGGTGGTGACTCTTTACAGAAGCCCTCATCTTTCTTCCATGGAATGACTGATAGGTTTGAATTGCTGACCTTCTGGTTAGTAGTCAAATACCTTAACCACTGTTGTTGTTGTTATGTGCCATCGAGTTGAACCCGACTCATAGCGACCCCTCCTTGGGTTTCCAAGGCGATATCACTACGGATAGTAGATTGCCCAACCTTCCTTCCGAGGAGTGACTGGTGGGTTTGAACTGCCAGCCTTCTGGTTAGCAGTCAAGTGCACTACGCTATCAGAGCTCTCACCTTAACCACTACACAACCATACCCAGGGTAATTAAAATGGGAATTAAGAGTCAAGATCTGTGACCTTCACCATCCGGAGAGTATCTTTCTAACAAAAGTACCTGGGGGCCAAAGGGTGAGTGGGTTTCTCGATAGCTCCCCTGCCCCATCCCTGCTTTTCTGCTGCAGAACATTTTCAAGAGGTCCCTGGCTTTCTCATTTAAGGAGGAAGAGTCTTTTGAAAAATAGTTTTTTAAATACTCTTATGTGCCAGGTCTTCCCATAGCCCAGGGTCCTCTGGCTACAACTCCCTGAGACCCATTGTTCTGGAGCTGGAGAGAGCAGATGGGGAGGGGGAGGGCAATTGCAGCTCTCTCCAGATTGCTTTGCATAAGACACTACTGTCTGCTTAGGAGGCCAGATTTACTTTTTAAATATAGAGATGCAAGCCAAAAGGAATAAAGATGCATTTTTTGTTGTTTTGTTCACATTTTGGCCTGATTTTGGGCGGCATGTGGGGATGGGGTTCTTTGGGCACCCCTGGATAAGAGACATGTGTGTGACCTATCCAATCTCCCTTTCTTCTTTTCAGTGGCGTTTTAACTTCAGCCACTTTGAAGTAGAACCTGGCCAGAAGTATGAGGTGACGGTTCACCACCTGCCCAAGCCCATCCCCTATGGGGACCCAAACCACCAGTCCAGGAACATCTCTGTGCCTGGTAAGAGAGCGTCCTCCCAAGCCATCCTCTTCACCATTTGGCTCTGTGAGAAGAAGCCAGCCTGCTCAGACGTCAGCCTTCCTGCCCAGCTAGACAATGGCTGCCATTGTTAGCCTGTGGTGCCCGCAGGACAAAAACACGCCAGGCACTGGGAGTTCTTGGTGTGCAACCAGCAAAGAGCAATCCCTGTTGGCCCAAATGGTGCATATTGGCCCAAGACCCTGGGAGTTTTATGGGTCCCAGACTCCCTCTCTCTGTGCTTCCTACACAGAAAATATCAGGAAAACCAACTACTCTTGCAAGCATTGTAACTCCTGCTCCCAGCCTCGCCATGGCCTCCATCATGTTGCTCTTAACTTTTGGTCTCAAATCCTGTCTTCCTTTCTCTAACATCTCCCCACTACTCTATCCTGTCCATTAATGCTGCCATGTTTATCTTCTAAAACACCATTTGATATGTGTGCACTTTCAATGTCTCTGTCCTCCCTGGAATCCCAGTGCTTGCCCTTGACCTACATTTCCCATTGTTCAAAGTCAGCTACATCTGGAGCCCAAGCCCTCTTAAGGACAGGGTCTGGGTCTTACACTCATTTGTGCATTCCCCAGAACCTAGAAGATTGCCCTGCATATGAAAGGTGCTTAGGAAGTGCTCATTGAGGATGATGGCGATGACTTTCATCCTTGAAGAACCTCATGCACACACATGCTATCTGCTTCCTGTATTTTACTGTTCTTACTCACTCCTTGACATGCTATTATATACTATTTTTGTTTTTTATTAGTCTCCTCTACTGGCATGTAATCTCTGGAGGGCAAGGACTTTGTCTTTTTCATCACTGTTATCACCAGTGCCTAGAGCATATATCAGTGGGTGACACATATTAGGTGCTCAATAAGGATTTGTTGACTGAGTGAATCTCCCCAATTCCCTCCCCTGTTTCTATAGTAGACTGTCTCAGGCCCTCTCACTCCACAGTGGCTGAAACCTGTGGTTTAGGTACCTCATGCTGCTCTAACAGAAATACAAGTGGAATGGCTTTAACAAACAGGAGTTTATTCTCCTGTTTTGGAGGCTAGAAGTCTGAGTTCAAAGTGCCAGGCTCTAGGGGCTGGGTGAAAGCCCCTCAACCTTGGGCTTCAGCTCTGCCTCTTGCTTCTTGCCCACTGGAGCTGGAGGCTTTCTTCACTGAGGCAGCTGCTGACTGATGAGTCTGACAAACCCAAGGTCAATAAGTAAAAAAGGCACAGTCCCGATATTACCAAACCACACAGCAGGCCATTGATTCAAGTCCATTAAGAGTCCCTAAGATCTCCAATAGAGCCTGGTGGAACCACTGAGACTATGGCCCCGAGCTGCCCTTCAGATCTGGAATTGAACCCACACCTGTGGTTTCCAGCCAAAGTACAGGCATGTGAGTTAAACATTTACCTCAGGTAGACACATGCCCTGGAGAGAACAATCATGGGAGAAGGAAGGGCTGCTTATACACAGGGAGACAGTTCAGGGGGCAGGAGAGTATGAAGGGATGGACACTGGGAAGTGGTACTATGGGGAGGAAGTTGGAGGGGAGCTGTTGCATTGTGGTAAACTGTGGTCAATGACATGAGACAAAGTATATGTGAACTGCTGTGTGGAAAGTGAATTTGCTCTGTAAATCTTCACCCAAATCACAATAAATAAAAATTAAAAAAAAAAAGAGTCCCCAAGATCAGCGGACAATGTAGCAGGCTGCTGAATGACGACTTGGCTACATGCAGGATCCAAGCATGGCAAAAGCTGCAGATCATTCCTAAAACTTCTCCTTATATACTGTAAACAGACCACATTCCTAAGGCAGCTACTCAGCTGCTCATGGCAGATTCCACCATGGAGGTGATTACCAGTCTCACCATGGAGAATAACTACATCCAGCTGCCCAGCCACTCAAAACCAGGCCCAGCCAACTTGACATATAACCTTAACTATCACCCCTGTAACATGTTTTCTTAAACCAAAGTCATTCCTTAAACTGCATTGCAGTTAAGGAAATTGGGGCAGGAGGAACAAGAAGATAACTATGGAGCAGTGGTCCACAGTGTGGTCCCTGGACCAGCAGCATCAAAAAATTACCCAGAACTTGTTAGAAGTACAAGTTCTCAGGACCCAACCTAGACCTTCTAAATCAGAAACTACTGATGATGATGAACACAAAAATTTGAGAAACACTGCTGTGGAGGAACAAAGTACTGCTCATTCTGTAAAAAAGGTAGAGACAACCCAGGAGCGAGGGAGCAACAGGTGAGGAGAGAAGGGACTAGAGTGGACCAAGACTCTTTGGTCATCCATACCAAGCTCAGGAGCAATACACTTGAATCTGGAAGGTTCCCTGAGAGAGGAAGAATGAGGCCAGGCCTCTCTGGACTTACCCTGGAGAGAAACCAAATCAGCCCCCACTCCTATGGGACCTCTGGCCACTAGCAGCTATCTAGCCCTGGGACTTGCTTTGAAGAGGTCATCTTTGAATCAATACCAAGGCAAACCCATTGCAGTTCAGTCAGTTTTGACTCATAGTGACCCTTTGGGACAGAATAGAACTACCCCATAGGATTTCCAAGGCTGTAATCTTTACAGGAGCAGGCTGCCACATATCTCTCCTGTGGAGTGGCTGGAGGGTTCAAACCACTGACCTTTCAGTTAACAGCCAAGCACTTAACCACTCAAAAACAAAACTCACTGCCACTGAGTCAATTCTGACTCATAGTGACCCATTTTGGATTTCTGAGGCAGTAAATCTTTACAGAAGTAGATTGTCCAGTCTTCCTTCTGCAGAGTGGCTGGTGGATTTGAACTGCCAACCTTATGGTTAACAGTCAAATGCCTTAAGCACTACACCACCAGAGCTTCTACACTCAACCACTGCACCATCAAAAAAAACAAACCCACTGCCATTGAGTCAATTCTGACTCATAGCGACCCCCTTTAGGTTTCCAAGGTTGTATATCTTTACAGAAGTCAATTGCCTCATTTTCTTCCCATGGAGTAGCTGGCAGGCTTGAACTGCCAACCTTCTGGTTAGCAGCCAAATGCCTTACCCACTGTGCCACCAGAGCTCCTTTACTACACCCACCATGGCTCCTTTATCTTTGAACCAAAACCAAAAACCACTCACTGCCGTCGAGTCAGATCTGACTCATAGTGACTCCTCCTTGGGTTTCCAAGGGAGTATTACCACAAAGGTAGATTGCCCAATCTTCCTTCTGAAAAGTGGCTGGTGGGTTTGAACCGCCAGCCTTCTGGTTAGCAGTCAAATGCCTTAGGCACTATGCCACCAGAGCTCCTTATCTTTGAACAGACCTCCCCAAAGGAAAAGTTCATTGTCCCTAGTGTTGGGAGTCTGCGAAACTCAACTTTCTAGGCAAAGGTTTAATGGTTTCTCTTTTTTCTGGTTTGGCAGGTTGCAAGGACCCCAGGATGAAGATAACCACAACATGTGTGAGCTTAGGTAACTATTGCTATCCAGTCCCACCTGAGGAATGGGCAGTACTTCACTTGGGAGCGCAGAGATGGCACACACAGACACACACACAGCTTTACTTGGGAGCATAGACACACACATACACACATACACGTTATACACCCAACTTTCTTGGGGGCACACACACACACACATCCTGATTTCTACCCTGAGTCTATGTCCTTGGCAGGCAGCCTGTGGGATCCCAGCATCATGGTGGAGAGACTCGAGAACCACCAACTGCTGGTGAGCTTCATCCTATGGAATGAGTCCACTGACTATCAGATCCTGCTGGACAGTTTTCCTCACATGGAGGACCATGCCTGCCTTGAGAACGGAAAGCGTATTTCTGCGGTAACTGCTTGCCACTTTTTCAGTCTCATGTAGCTCAAAAACCACCCCTCCAAGCTTTGAGTCTCCTCTCCTACTGGTCCTGACAGAACTGTTGCCAGGAACTCAGAGTTCAGCGCTGTGCTTAGTCAATACTTATCCTGGGCTGCTTGGCCCTTTTTCTTTTCTTCTGATTAATGGTTGATAGATCCTCCACTTTCTACCCTTCCCTGGCCACCCACAGCCCTTTGGGTTCTCCCCTCCTCACACTCTCCCCTGTGCTCCTCGTGTTTTGCTTTGTTTATTCTACTTTATATTCCCCAAAAGGATTTGAGGATTAAAAGATAAATGTGGAAATCAAGACAAGGGGAAAATAAAGATAAGGGAAAAAAAAAAAAAAAAAAATGAAGCCAGGAATATGGTTAGCATAGAAAATGCATGCTGTCCCATTCTATACAGCTGCTGGTGTTAGCACAGATTTGTCTCTACAATTCCCAGCAGCCAAAGCAGAGAGGGAAATACCCATTATGAGATGTGTTCATGAGTTAAAAACCCAACAAGCTGCCCTGGAGAAATGCACTTTTTTTCTTGGAACAGAGACCTGAAAAGCACTTCTCCCTTGGCTCTAGGCAGCACTACTCTAGCAAGGCCTTAACCAACTAACCTTACCTATCTTCTACTCTCTCTTAAGCCCGGACAGGAGGATTTCCCCCAGCGGTACAATGTCACATTCCCCATACAAAACTTGAACTGGTGCTGCCGCCACCGAGTGAAAGTGAGTATAGTGGAGACAAGCATGAGAGTGTATGGATCTGTGGGCATTCCTGCTAGCTGGACAAGGAGGGCAGAAGGGCAGTTCATGGATTTGTGCTCTCTCCATGGACCCAGCACTGCATTGTCTGGTATCCATTGCCTGGCAAGGCACCATCTTGGCCTTTCTCCAGTCCCATTCTCCCAGCCTCACCTGGGCAAGGGGCCTTTGACCTCCACTCTCAAATGGAAGATGGGATCTCACAGCTATATGGAGACTGTAGAGTAGCCACCCGCAGTCCATTACCCTCCACTAGCCTCTGTGGACAGGAAGGCACTGGGAAGGGAGCCCTATGTTCCCCAGCATCTCTAGTCCTTCTCTTCCCTGTTCTCTCTGCTCTTGCAGATCCAGCCTTTCTTCAACAGTTGTCAGAATGACTGCATCAGACACATCATGAACATTAGCTGCCCAGAAGCTCCAGAAATTCCAGGTAGGCAGGACATGGCTGTCCTGGGATATATTTGGGGATGAGCGTGAATAAAGACTGACAGCTTGAAGTAAATCCTGACCTGCTTCTAAGAGTGAAAGAGAGTTAATTCGATCTGGAGTTATTTTGGATTGAGGTATAGTGTGGGGCTTTACAGTGACATAGTCCTTGATTGGAATCTTGATTGCCTTCCATGGGCTGTATAACCTTGGGCAAAATACTTAACCATTCTGAGCCTCAACTTCCTTGACTGGAAAACGGAGATTATCATTTTCGTAGAGTTACAGTGATCATTGGAGTCCTTGGGTGGCACAAGGAGTTAATGAACTTGGCTGTTAACTAAAAGGTTCACCCTCTTCTGCCCTCTGCCCCCCACCCCCCACCCTGAGGCATCTCAGGAGAAAGACCTGGCAATTTACTTCCAAAATATCAGCCTTTGAAAAACCAGTTCTACTCTAACACACATCAACTCAATGGCAACTGGCCTGGTTTTATACCATTGCTGTCAAGTCAATTACAATTCATGATGAGTCCATGTTTTACAGAACAGACTGTACCATAGGGTTTTCTTGATTGTAATCTGCTTACTTATGTGTGCCAAGAAGGAAGGTGTCATCCACTTCTCAAAGAAGTGACCAGAGAAAACCTTATGAATAGCAGTGAAACACTGTCTGATATATTACTAGAAAACTTTATGAATAGCCCTGAAATATTGTCTAATATAGTGCTGGAAGATGAGCCTCTGAAGTTGGAAGGCACTCAAAATACCACTGGAGAAGAGCTGCCTCATCAAAGTAATGTCGGCCTTAATAACCATCGATGGAGTAAAGCTTTCAGGACCTTCATTTGCTGATGGGGCACTACACAAAATGGGAAGAAACACCTGCAAATATCCATTAACAGTCAGAACATGGAATGTACAAAGTGTGAATCTAGGAAAATTGGAAGTTGTCAAAAATGAAATGGAATGCAAAAAAAGATTGCTATCCTAGGCATTAATGAGATGAAATGGACTGGTATTGGCCATTTGAATCAGACAATCATGATCTACCACACCAGGAATGACAAATTGAAGAGGAATGGTGTCACATTCATCATCACAAAGTATATTTCAAGATCTATCCTGACGTACAATGCTGTCAGTGATAGGATAGCATCCATATGCCTACAAGGAAGACTAGTTAACACTACTATTTTTCAAATTTACACACCAACACTAAAGCCAAAGGTGAAGAAATTGAAGATTTTTACCAATTTTCACAGTCTAAAATTGACTAAACATGCAATCAAAATGTATTGATGATTACTGGTGATTGGAATGCAAAAGTTAGAAACAAAGAAGAGTCATCGATATTTGGAAAGTATGACCTTGGTGATAGAAATGACACTGGAGATTGCAAGATAGAATTTTGCAAGACCAACAACTTATTCATTGAAAATACCTTTTTTCAACAACATAAATGGTGATACACATGGACCTAGCCAGATGGAACACACAGGAATCAGATTGACTACATCTGTGGAAAGAGGCTATGGAGAAGCTCAAAATCATCAGTCAAAACAAGGCCAAGCAAGAGCTGATTGTGCAACAGACTATCAACTGCTCATAGTTGAAGTTGCTCATAGTTCAAGTTGAAGCTGAAGAAAATTAGAAGTCTACAAGAGCTAATATATGACCTTGAGTATATCCCACCTGAATTTAGAGATCATCTGAAGAATAGATTTGATGCATTGAACACCAATGACTGAAAGCTAGACAAATTGTGGGATGACATCAAGAACATCATACATGAAGAAAGCATAGTCATTAAAAAGACAGGAAAGGTAAGTATTGATTTGGGAGAAGGAAAAGGCAATATATTTATAAATAAATATCTAAAAATATAGGAAAGGAAGAAAAGACCACAATGAATATCAGAAGAGACTCTGACACTTGCTCTTGAAAGGAGAGTAGCTAAAGCAAATGGAAGAAATGACAAGATAAAAGAGCTGAATGGAAGGTTTCCAAGGGCAACTTGAGAAGACAGAGTAAAATATTATAATGAAATGTGCAAACACCTGGGGTTAGAAAACCAAAAGGGAAGAACATACTTGGCATTTCTCAAACTGAAAGAACTGAAGAAAAAATTCAGGCCTTTAGTTGCAGTATTGAAGAATTCTATGGACAAAATATTGAATGATGCAGGAAGCATCAGAAGATGAAAGGAATACATAGTGACTGTAGTCACTGTACCAGAAAGAATTGGTCAGTGTTCAACTATTTCAGGAGGTAGCATATGATCAAGAATCAATGGTAATGAAAGAAGTCCAAGCTGCACTGAAGGAATTGGTGAAAAATAAGGCTCCAGGAGTTGACAGAATACCCAGTGAGATGTTTCCACAAACAGATGGAACACTGGCTTACTCGTCTGTGCCAAGAAATCTGGAAGACAGCTACTTGGCCAACTGACTGGAAGAGATCCATATTTGTGCCCATTCCAAAGAAAGGTGATCCAACAGAATATAGAAATTGTTTAACAATATCATTAATATCACATGCAAGTAAAATTTTGCTGAAACTAATTCAAAAACAGTTGCAGCAGTATATTGACAGGTAACTTGCAGAAATTTAAGCCAGATTCAGAAGAGGACACAGCAGGAGGGGTATCATTGCTAATGTCAGATGGATCTTGGCTGAAAGCAAAGAATACCAGAAAGATGTTTACCTTTTGTTGACTATGCAAAGGCATTTGACTGTGTGGATTGTAACAAATTATGGATAACATCACAAAGAATAGGAATTCCATAACACTTAATTGTGCTCATGAAGAGCCTGTACATAAACGAAGAGGCTATCATTCAAATGGAACAAGGGGGTACTGCATGGTTTAAAATCAGTGAGGGTGTGCATCAGTGTGATATCCTTTCACCATACTTATTCATTCTGCATGCTGAGCAAATAATCTGAGAAGCTGGACTATATGAAGAAGAACATGGCATCGAGAATGAGGAAGACCCTTTAACAACCTGCACTATGCAGATGACACAGCCTTGCTTGCTGAAAGTGAAGATGACTTGAAGCACTTAATGATAAATATCAAAGACCATAGTCTTCAGTATGGATTACACCTCAACATGAAGAAAACAATTATCCTCACAACTGGACCAAAAAAGCAACATCATGATAAATGGAAAAAATATTGAAGTTTGTCAAGGATTTCATTTTACTTGGATCTACAAGCAACACCCAAAGAAATAGCAGTCAAGAAGTTAGACACTGTATTGCACTGGGCAAATCTGCTGCAAAAGACCTCTTTAAAGTGTTAAGGAACAAAGATGTTACTTTGAAGAATAAGGGGTGCCTGAGCCAAACCATGGTATTTTCAGTAGCCTCATATGCATGTGAAAGCTGGATAATGAATAAGGAAGACTGTAGAAGAATTAATGTATTTGAATTGTGGTGTTGGCAAACAATACTGAAAATAACCATGGACTGACAAAAGAATGAACAAATCTGTCCTAGAAGAAGTACAGCCAGAATGTTCCTTGGAAGTGAGAATGGCCGGACTTCATCTCACCTACTTTGGTCATGTGGTCAGAAAGGACCATTCCCTGGAGAAGGATATCATCCTTGGTAAAGTGGAGGGTCAGCAAAGAAGGGGAAGACCCTCAATGAGTGGCTCCAGTGATGGGCTCCAGTATAGCAAGCATTGTGAGGATAGCACACGACAGGCAGTGTTTCATTCTGTTGTACATAGGGTGGCTATGAGTCAGAGTTGACTCACAGTACCTAACAATGATATCAGCAACAACAATCTTAATGGAAGCCAATCAGAAGGCCTTTCTTCTGTGGTGCCACTGAATGGGTTTGAACCACCAACCTTTAGGTTAATAGTCTAATACAAATTGTATGCTTCCACCCAGGAACCTTTCTGGTTATATAAACCAAAAAATATAAACCCACTACTATTAAGTTGACTGTGACTTTTAGTGACCCTGTCGGACAGAGTAGAATTGCCCCATAGGGTTTCCAAGGCCATAAATCTTTATGGAAGCAGACTGCCTCATCTTTCTCCTGCAGAGCAGCTGATGGGTTTGAACAGCCAACCTCGTGGTTAGTTAGCCAATGCTTTAACCACTGTCCTACTAGGGCTCTTTTGTTATACTCAAATTCACTCACTGCTGTGGAGTCAGATCTGACTCATAGCTACCCCTCCTTGGGTTTCTGAGGTGGTATCACTACAGAAGTAGTTTGCCCAATCTTCCTTCTGAGGAGTGGCCGGTGGGTTTGAACTGCCAGCCCTCTGGTTGGCAGTCAACTGCCTTAGGCACTGTGTCACCAGAGCTCCTCTTTTTGTTACAGTGATCATTAAATAGCTATTTTTGCCATGTACTGAAAAAGATGCTTTAGCGTGTTGTCCTATTTTTAATCTTCCCAAAGTGTGAGTCACAAGAACACTATTAAGATATAGAGATTCTATTCCCTCTCCAAGTTTATGTGATGAGGAAACTGAGGCACAGAGATGTTAAATAACTTGCCCAAGATCACACACCAAGGAAGTGGCAGAGCACAAGTTCCTACTGAGCCTGTTAGACTCATAGCCCATTCCTTCCCCATGTGCTGTCATCAAATTCTAGTTCAGAAGCTGTTGACCACAGCCTAACATGAGGCTACAGCTAAATGCTGTTAAGAAAGCAACAGATGTTTCCCTGACCTGGAAGAGAACCCCGGTCTCCCAAGTGAGAGGCCAGGCATTTCAGTAAATCAATAACTCAGAGTGTTTCCTATGGCTGATTTCATTAACTTTCTAAACTTTCTAAAGTTCTTGGTACAGGCCCTCAGTAAATGTCAGGGATGGTTTTTGTGATGACTACAAATAATTAAGAATACTCTTTTCCCTTTGTTTCCATTACAGGCATGATTGCAGGTAAGCCCAGACCTCCTTCCCATAATGCTATAGGACCCTTCAGGAGACAGTCCCCAGGGGCCACACAAGGAGCTCCTGGCTGGGCCTTTCAAGGAGCCATGCACACAAGACTGAACTGAGAGGCCAGTCCGGGAGTGGGTATCTTATTCTCTAGAGAAGCAGAACCAGTGAGATAAATAGAGCGACATTTACTTCAAGGGATCGGCTCATACAATTATGGGGGCTGAAAAGCTCCAAACCTATAGGTCAGGTGACAGACTGGAGACTTCCGCTGGCTGACGGGATTGTAGAGGGCTAGTAAGTCCAAAATCTGTAGGTCAAGCAGCAAGCTGAGACTTCTGCAGGCTCATGTCCCAAGATCCATAGGTTAGCAACAGGAAGAGTGCAGAGTCAAGAAAGAAAAAGTTCTGCCAAAATACCTATTTATGATCTGAAGGCAGACCATACCCTAAAGAACTCCCCTTTCAACTGATTGAATACATTACGTTATGGAAGGTGATTGCATTACATTGCATTCGATTACATTATGGAACATCAACTAGTTTACTGTTTGGCAAAAGCCTAGCCATGTTGATACATAAAATTAACTAGCCCAGTGGATGAGGGCATCGGCATCTCATGGTGAGAGCCAGAGAGGACAGAACGTGGGGCTAGGCAATTGCGGGGCTGGAGTTCTAGGGCTGTCCTGCTGTTTTGTTCACACTGTTCTGTTCACACAGATTACATGCCCCTGTGGGCGTACGTGGTCATCACGGGTATTGCCATCCTGCTGGTGGCCTCTGTCATCCTGTTCATCATCTGCATGACTTGGAGAATGTCTGGTAAGGGGCAAAGTCATGGGAGGCTGCGTCCTGGGACTCTCCCCTCTGCGCTTGTCTTTCTTCCTATGGCATCCCTGCCCTTTCTTCTCATTCCAGTCCTGCAGCTAGACCTTCTCTGGAAGGCTGTGGTCTAAGGAGGCCTTCACTCACAGCCCTGCAATCTCAAATTAAGTGTAGACACTGCCTCTGGTGTGCCACCTTGAGTTCAGTTGTCAAGAACTCAGAACTTGGAGTCAGGCAGACCTGGGCTTCGAGACCAGCTCCACCACTTAATACCTGGGCAATTACTTCATTCTCAGAACCTCAGATTCCTCTTTTGTAAGATGGAAATTACATTGATACCCATGCCATAAAACTATCACAAGGATTTCATAAAGTAATGCATGTGAATTCTTATCCTGGCACATCTTGTTTGCTCAATATTTGTTAGCCATGATTATGTTTATCATTATTACAATTAATATTAGTAAAAACAACAGGTTGAAGAAGCTAGGATGGAGTTTCCTTGCATCAGAAATAATCAGCAGATAACAATTTTAAGACACTATTGATTAGAAGAAGCATTTCCATTTCAGAGATGTTAAAATGTGGAGCGAAAATTGCGTCTTAGAACCAGTGAGACAGGGTAGATCTCACTTGAAAGCTACCCAAGATAATAAAATGAAAGTTACGTCTCTGAATGAAAAGAGCAGCCTGAACAACCCTATCCTGCAGCCCCCAGACTCGTACTCAGGGAGAGGAGCAGGAGACAGCACAAGTAAGAGAACCTCAGGCTCTAGACTCAGAACACATGGATATGGATCCCACCCACCTCGTTAGATTTATAGTCAAAAAGAAGTTACTTACCAAACCTCAGATTCAGTTTTCTTCTCTGTAAGATGGGATAATAATGCCTGTCTCTCAGGATGTGGTGAGGATTAAATGAGCCCAAAAAAGTATTTGGTGGTTATTAATCAATATCAGTTCCTTTCCCTCCTGCAACCCTCTACTGGCTGAGTTCTAAGCAGGGGAGAACTTGGGTCATCAGTGGACTTTCCCTTCCTCCTTCATGACCTTCAGCTATTTCTTCAGTTATCTGAGGTGCTCTCTCCACACTTACCAATGATAGCCTCATCACACCTAGATCCTGAGAAGCTGGTTAATTAATTACCATTGTATGATGGAAGGACCACCAAACCAAGAGTGAGAAGACCTAGGTTTGGGACCTCCTCCAAAAGGGGTTGGGAGGGTGAAATAAGATCATGTCTGCCAGTACTTTACAAACTGTAAAGTTCTCCATTGATATCAAAGAGACCTTTTGTTTCCTTCCTGTTTTTGCACCCTTTCCTGAAGTACTCCACACCACACACAGGGTGAATGAAAGGTCAGGATAGAAACTTCAGTAGTTACATTGGTATCTTTTCACAATTCTGGAAAATGGCCCAAAGGGTGGGGATTGAAATTCAGGTCCTAAAAAGCTTACCTGTTGTTGTTGTTGTTTGGTGCCGTTGAGTTGGCTCTGACTTATAGTGACTCTGTACAACAGAAAGAAATACCTTATCTGAGCATCAGTGAATTTCATCAACTTGATGGCAGTGAGTTTGGTTTTAAGGATACTTCTGGGAAAAGGTGTTTCCTCAAGTAGAGGGTCTACTTTGAGGGGAAAGGGAGAGAAGCTAGGGCCAGCCCTGTAATAAGTACCAGGGAGGAGGCCCCAGTTGCCATCTGGCCAGTCTCACTCAACAGGGTCATTTCTACAGAATAACAGTAACCCAATGACTGATCTTATACAACATACATGATCTCATTTCATCCCCGCTCACAAACCCATTTTACAGAGGAAGAAACTGAGTTTCAGAGATGCTAATTAGTAACTTTCGTAGATCACAAAACAAATGGTGGCAGAACCAGGATTCACACCAGGGTTTCTGAACTACACAGCACAGTCTCCCTGCGAAGGCCCAGAAGCTTCCCTTACTTCCCCTTACCTTTTATCAGGGGCGGGAGAAAACCAAAACCAAACCCACTGCCATCGAGTCGATTCTCCTCATAGCAACCCCCATTGGGTTTCCAAGGCAGTAAATCTTTACAGAAATAGAATGCTTTGTCTTGCTTCCACAGAGTAGCTGGTGGGTTTGAACCACGAACCTTCTGGTTAGCAGTCAGATGCCTTAGGCACTGTGCTACCAGAGCTCCAGGGGCAGGAGAGTACCCTCATTAAACAACCCTATCCCTTTGAGTTGAGTCCCTGCTTGTCTTTCAAAAGAGCCTCACCTGTGTATTTCTTTTCCTTTCAGGGTCTCATCATGAAAAATGTAATAATAACTCCAAACATACTGGTATGTATTTCCTTTGTTTGAGTGGATTGGCTTTTGTGTGTGTTTTCATTTTTAAAGGAGTGGTGGAGGGTTCTTTTGGGATAAACAGGTAGGTCACCTTCTGGACTTTAATACCTAAGTCCCTCCAGGGACCTCACCTTTTAGAGAAACTGCCTTGTAACATCCCACAGAGAGGGATTTCAGGGTACCTCAAATAACCAGAACTGGGATAATAACATTTTTAATGACTTAGACAAGGAAGGGAAGGGAAGGTATGTTGTTTTTGTTGTTGTGTTCCTTCTAGTTGATTCCAACTCATAGTGACCCTATAGGACAGAGTACAACTGCCTCATAGGGTTTCTAAGGCTGTGTGATCTTATGGGAGCAGATCACCAATCTTTTTTCTCATGGAGCCACTAGTGAGTTCAAACCACCAACTTTTAAGTTCGCAGCTGAGTGCTTAACCATTGCACCACCAGGGCTCCTTGAGGGATGATAAGTGCAAAATATTTTTTGAAAACTAAGTCCTCCTGTATAGCAGATAGCAATATAACTATTTCAAAAGCAGGCCTTTGTGCCTTTTTCTTTTTCTTTTTCATTAATATTATTAACCCACCAACCCACGGCCATGGAATTGATTCATAGCAATCCTATAGGGCAGAATAGAACTGCTCCATAGGGTTTCCAAGGCTATAAATCTTTATGGAAAGCAATTGCCTCATCTTTCTCCCATGGACCAGTGGGTGAATGCTAACTGCTGACCTTTTGGTTAGCCAAATGCTTTAACTACTGAACCACCAGAGCACCTTAGAATTATTAAATTATACACTAAAGTCTAGATGGGAATGTGTGAGAGAGAGAGTCTTCAGAAAATACCAGACTATGATTTTTCAGGCAGCCAAAACAAGGTGAAATGGCAGCAATTGGCTTATCCCAAAAGGCCTTGGTTGCATTTCTTAGGCTAGGGAGCCAATCTTTGCATTCCTATAGTCCAGGCCCTCCTAGGCTGACCAGCAGGGACCCACCCCTGGCCTGTGATATGAAGACCAGCAGAAACACACACCTGAACCTGTGGTCTTGGCTTCCTTTCTTCCTCTCAGATGTCCTGACCACAGCTGACCTGAATGCCCCAACCCTGAAGCCACGGAAGGTCTGGATTGTCTACTCAGCCGACCATCCCCTCTATGTGGATGTGGTCCTAAAGTTCACCCAGTTCCTGATCACTGTGTGTGGCACCGAGGTGGCCCTTGATCTGCTGGAGGAACAGGTCATCTCTGAAGTGGGAGTCATGACTTGGGTAGGACGCCAGAAGCAGGAAATGGTTGAAAGCAACTCCAAGATCATTATCCTGTGCTCTCGGGGCACCAGGGCCAAGTGGCAGGCTATCCTTGGCTGGGAAGAGCCTGCCATCCAGCTGCGGTGTGACCGCTATAAGCCTGCTGGGGACCTTTTTACGGCAGCCATGAACATGATCCTACCAGACTTCAAGAAGCCAGCCTGCTTTGGCACCTATATCATCTGCTACTTCAGTGACATCAGCAGTGAGGATGATATCCCCGACCTCTTCAACATCACTTCCAGGTACCCACTCATGGACAAATTTGAGGAGATTTACTTCCGCATCCAGGACCTGGAGATGTTTGAACCTGGCCAGATGCACTGCGTAGGGGAGCTCACAGGGGAAAACTACCTGCAGAGCCCCAGCGGCTGGCAGCTCAAGAAAGCCATGGATCGGTTCCGGGAGCATCAGACTCAATGCCCTGATTGGTTTGAGCGTGAGAACCTTTGCTCAGCAGATGACCAGGATCTGCCATCCCTGGATGAAGAGGTGTTTGAGGAGCCACTGCTGCCATCAGGAAGAGGGATCCTGAAACAGAAGCCCCTGGTACGGGAGCCTGCCTCTGAGGACTGTCTAGTGGTAGATCTGATTATCAGCAAAGAGGAAAGAGAAGTCTCGAAGCTAGAACCTCAGCTCCAGCTCCAGAGAGAGCCAGCAGCCCAGACCCTCCAAACCGTGGTACTACCTGAGGACAGGGTCCTTCCAGCACAAGCAGTGCTGCTCATGCCTCTCGCTGACAAAACTGGTATAGCCAGCCGTCTGACTATAATGGAAGAAGGTGAGGCCTGCCCATTGTTGGAGGCCCCTGGCCCACAGCGGAACGATGTTCTTTTCCACCCTGTGGATCCAGAAGCCTCACCTCTCTGCAGCACCCCAATGGCATCGCCTGACCACCTCCCACAAGATGTAAGGGAGCAGCTTGAAGGCTTGATGTTCTCACTTTTCCAGCAGAGTCTGAATGGCCAGATCCAGGAGGTCCTCAAAGACCCCCATACACCTTACGAGGAGGAGCAGAGGCAGTCGGTGCAGTCTGATCAGGGCTATATCTCCAGGAGCTCCCCACAGCCCCCCGATGGACTTACAGAAATGGAGGAAGAGGAAGAAGAAGAGCAGGACTTGGGGAAGTCAGCTGAGCAACTCTCTCCTGAGGCCCTAGAGAACCTGAAGAGCCTCCAGCAACAGCTCTTCTTCCAAGAGCTTCAGAAGAGCTCTGGCTGGGACAGTGTGGAGCTGGAGAGGCTGCCTGCAAAATGGCAGACATCTCTATAGGGGTCTCCCAGACGAGAACATTGAGAGAAGGCTGTATGTGTACATGGGTATACACGTGTATATATATATATATGTATGTGTGTGTGTGTGTGTGTGTGTGTCCGTCCCTGAGTGTGTTTGTTCATGTGTAAAGTATACATCTTTGAAATATAAACATCTTGATTCTGATCCCTGAGCAGACTTTTTTTTCCCCCCAATATAACTATCTGGATTTCTTCCATCCCCATGAAAATCCAGAACCTATTCCCAAAAGTTAATGACAGAATGTCCTTGAGTTGCCATAATTCGTTCATTCAACATTATTCGGCACCTACTATGTGTCAGACAGGAAGGAGCTCTGGTAGCATAGTGTCTAAGGCACTTGACTGCTAACCAGAAGGCTGGCGGTTCAAACCCATCAGCCACTCCTCGGAAGGAAAATGGGGCAATCTACTTCCGCAGTGATACCACCTCGGCAACCCAAGGAGGGGTCGCTATGAGTCGGATCCAACTTGACGGCACATAACAACAACAACATGTGTCAGACATCTGAGATGCACAGAAAAGTTGCACACATTTGACCCCTGCTACCAAGGAGCTTAACATGCAGTGATAGGGACAGATTAGCAAACAGATGATTATCATGCAAGATATAAAGGCCAAATAGATGACTGATAAAACCAAAACCACAACCAACACTCAACCAAACCCGTTGCCATAGAGTTGATTTTGACCTGTGATGACAATGTTGGAGCAGAATAGGGTTTTAATGGCTGTGACCTTTCAGAAGCAGATCTTGAGGGCTTTCTTCCAACGTGACTCCAGGTAGGTTTGAACCACCAACCTTCTGGTTAGTAATGGAGCACTTAACAGTTTGCTTCACCTAGGGACTCCAAAGCTGCCCAAACTCAAAAACCAGGCTCACTGCCATCAAGTCAATTCTAACTCATAGCGACCCCTATTGGAGTTCCAAGGCTATAAATCTTTACAGAAGCAGACTGCCTCATTTTTCTTCCACAGAGGGGCTAATGGGTTTGAACCACCGACTTTTCAGTTAGCAGCCAAATGCCTTAACTGCTGCACCACCAGAGCTCCTTCCAAAGCTACCTAGGACTATAAAAATACACAGAAGATGGAGGATTCCTGGAGGAGGTGATGTATGAGCTGAAGAAGTTTGTTTCCTGAGTCAAAGGCTTGTGGATGGGGAAGGTAGCAGCCCAGGGGAAGGAAGCAAGTGGGGCTTGGGGCTGGGAAGTGAGGAAAAGCAGAGAACTGCAAGTCAGTCTGTGTGGCTCTGGCATTGGGTATGTGTGTGTGGGGGGTGGGGGGGAACGATGAGAGCTGTAGTTGAGAAGTAGGCACAACCCAGGTCTGGGACAGCCTTGTGGGCCAGGCTAGGAGTGGGACATTAGCCTCCAAGATGTAGGACTCCAATATGATGAACTGTGTCTGAACACCAGGAAGCCTCCTCAGATCATTTTTTGAAAGAGGCAGGATAGAAATATATGGTAAGTGAAATTGATCACATTCAGTAGGGAGAAAATCTGGAATCCTAGCTCACATTGACAGTCAGTCAATGAGAGAACTGTGGTAAAGGAGTCTTCAGGTGCCACCTGGCTGGGCCCTGGGGCTGTATCTCCCATGAGTTCAAGAAGCACTGAGAACTGGGAGCCTTGGCTCCATGCTGGAGTCCAATAACAAAGTGAATTGAGGTATGAGCTATGGAGGGCCACAGCAGGAGCAGTTGGGGGTCGCGGAACAAGTTGAGAAGACAATGCTTGAGGAGATTGTAAGACAAGGTGTTTAAAGGAATTGTTACTGACATACCTCCTTAGAGTAGACAAGTCTTCTATCTCTGGGGGTCCTGAAGGACACACATGGATGCTGACCCTAGAATAGAGTATTGTCCATTGCCTACATCTGAATCCTAAACAATAGTTCCATATTTCACCAGGAGAAGATGATTCTAAAATATAATAGAAAACCAAATATAGTGTGTGTGTGTGTGTGCATATGCACGCACGTGTGCATATGAAAAATTATTAACAAAAGAATAAATGTTAACTCTGATAAGCATTTCTACTGGTTATTTTGAGCCATATATTACTGTAGGTTAAGACGTTCCTAGTTGGAGTTCTTTTTTGTAGTAAGATTTTGCCTAGCAGTAGTGAGGCCACCAAGGCTCTAAGTCCCAGATAGTGTGTGGCCTATACTCAGCCCAGCATCAGCAAAGGCCCAGGTGAGGGAGAAAAGCAACTGAGCCCTCCTAGCCACCAGCCTCTCGAACTCCCTCTCTTTTCTCCAGTAGTCCTGGAGGTGGGATCTTTAGGTCCAGATGCCTACCAAGCTTTTGGTGACGTTTCCTCAACTTCAGTAAGCACTTATTAAGTGCCCAGAATTTGGAATATCATGACAAACTCTTCCCTTGATAGAGCCTGGGTTCTGCCTGGCAGCAAAATGGCCCCAAAGCACACTTAACAGTTTGATGCCTTTTCTCACAAGACTTGAATTCTTGCTGGCCTTTGAGGTCATACTGATAGAGGTCCCAGAAGGTGTTGTCCATCATGCCTCCCTTTATCGCCAAAGCTGCTGTGCTTTTTTTTGAAGGAGCTTTATTAAAATATAATTCACATACCATACAATGCACCCACTTACAGTGTATAATTCAGTGGCTTTTAGTATATTCAGTGTTGTGCAACCATCACCATAACAAATTTTAGAACATTTTTATTACTCCTCTAAGAAATCCAGCACCCCTTAGTCATCATCACCCTAACCCCTTCTCCCACTCCCACCCCCATTCTCCCCAGCCCTAGGCAACCACCAATCTACTTTCTGTCTGTAGGTATGCCAGTTCTGAGCATCTCATATAATGGAATCATACCACTCTATAGGGTTCCTAACTCATTTTTTAAATGTCATTCCTTTGTTTCTTGGCACATTCCCTTCCTTCTTCCCTAGACCCCTCAATCTCACACTGGTTTTTGCTCACTGGAAGTGTCAGCCTGAGTGTGGTCAACCTGAGTGTGGTGTCTGCTATTACACAGATGCTACAAGCTTCAAGAGCATGTGTACCAAATCCATGCCTTTATTTTTGTATTCTTCTGAACCAGGGCTAATCAAATCCTGTTTCGCCCAAAAGAGGTCCTCCAAGAACAGATGCCCTCCACACTGTAACTTTCCCACCTCTCTGGCTCCTGTCCTAAACAGAGTGCACATCAGGTGGCTCATAGGGCACCACAGTCAATGTGTGACCAAAAACCTGCGATGAAGCACACATACCATTATGCATGCTTCCAGCTCCAATGTAAATTTCCATGACTTTTTCCTGCCTACTGTCCTGATCCTACTCAAACACGCACACACACACACAGGAATCTAGACCTCACTTACAACTGCTTACAACTTTAATTAAACCAGTTTCTCTTTCTACTTAGGAAGGTCCTCAGAGATGTTTAGATTTTGAAGGAGGCTTTGTTCAGTCACTTAAACATCAATCAATTCAGCAGTTTGAGCTGAGATCCAAGAGTATGATAAATTTTATTTATTTCCTGCTTACTTTTGAAAATTAAATAGGGCATAAAGAACACATACTTACAGTGCAATGGGGGGGGGGGGTTAATCCTGTATCATTTAGACACTGCAAGTTGGTATTCTCCCTTCCCAAATAAATAAGGGGCATGCCAGGCTACCACTTCAACCACTCGGAGGGGGATATATGTAGGAGATCCTGGATAGAGAGGGAGAACAACGTGGAACAAAACTCAAAATCATTTGTGAAAATAAAAGGGGGAACCAGGTTTGCTGGTCTCATAGAGCCTGGTGGAACCACTGAGGCTATAGCTCCTAGCTGCCCTGCAAGTCTGGAATTGAACCCACACCTGTGGCTTCCAGCCAAACAAAAGACAAGCATATGAGTTGAACATTTACCTGAGATAGATACACCCCTTGGAGAGGACAATCATGGGAGAAAGAAGGGCTGTTTATGCACAGGGAGACAGCTCAGGGGGCAGGAGTGCATGGAGGGATGGACACAGGGAAGAGGTAACTATAGGGAAGAAGTGGGAGGGCAGCTGTTGCATTGTGGTATATTGTAGTCAATGTCATGAGACAGTGTATGTGAACTGCTGGGTGGAGAGTGAATTTGCTCTGTAAATTTTCACCCAAATCACAATTCAAAAAAAAAAAAAAAGGGAAAAAAGTGGGGGTGGGGGGGAGGCATGCCAGGCTCTGTTCAACCCCAGCCCTTCCTAAGGAGATCTACCAGGTAAGAACTACAAGCCAAGGTGGGCACCAGGTCATGCAGGAGCATAAGGGCTCAAGAGAGCTTTGTTGTTGGGTGCTGTCAAGTTGCGTTTTTTAACTCATAGAGACCCCAAGTTACAGACTAAAACTACGCCGTAGTGTTTTCTAGACTGTAATTTTTACAGAACCAGGTCTTCCTCCCACACGGCCTTCTAGGTGGTTTCATACCTCCAACCTTTCCATTAATATCCAAATGCTTTGCACCACCAGGGCTCCTTTATCTCAGAGTGAAATGCAGAGCTGTGTTCCTGCACCGCCTGTATGTCACAAATCAAGTATATTGGAGAAGTTCCCTGTAAAGAGTTTGGAGGCAGTGAACAGGTGGCTGGGATCCTGGCTCTGCTGCTTACCAGCTGAGTGGCTTTAACCAAATTACCTTCCTTAGATAGCTCATCTCTAAAGTAGACACAGCAGTATTTCCTACTTTATAGGAATCTTGTTAAGTGTGGAGGAACTCTGGTGGCATAGTAGATAAGGCGTTGCACTGCTAACCATGAGGTAACCATGAATGCCTGTAGTTCAAACCCATCAGCTACTCTGCAGAAGGAAGATGGGGCAATCTACTTTCATAAATATTTACAGCCTTGGAAACCCCATGGGAGCTGCTATGAGTCAGAATCGACTTGATGGCAGTGAGTTTGGTTTTTCAGTTTTGTTAGGAGTGGACAAAATACCCACAAGAAGCACTTAGGTAGTGCCCTGCACCCAGGAAGCCC